GAGGAGGGAGGACAGAGATGGCAGAGCCCTCGCACCTGGGAGGGCCAACTGATTTCATTTCTGCAGGTTTCCTGGGGATCACACGCCAGGTGCTGGGCTGGGTGTGAGCCTTGTGCAATGCAGGGACAAGTGCCCTGACCCCCGAAGACTGTAGAGTGACACAGGAGGAGAGCTTCAGGGCCACAGGCAGGAGGTGCTGAGTGTCAGACACCTACTGGGCTGTGGGCTTGCACAGCAGGGGCAGGAACTGGTTGGAAGCCAGGGTTGCGATTACTCTGAAGTTGAAGGGAGCAAGCAGATGTTGGGAGTGTGTTTGGCGGGAGCCACAGAGGAGCCAGAAAGACTGAGGCACACCCTAGGGAAGGTCCTGGAGCTGCGGGAAGCTGAGAGGGGTCATAAGGGAGGGAAGGAGATAGAACTGCAAGAATGGAGCTGCTGGGTGTGCTGGCCAGAGAAGCCCCCTGGGAGTCCTGAGAGACAGGGCAGAGGGCATGGGGTGGGCAGCATGCAGAGTGACTGTGCGTGTGGCACCCTGGGTGACTTGGGGCTGAGGGGCAGCTGAGGTGAGGGAAGATGTGTGGAGGAGGGCGATGGGTGGCTAGGTGCCATGTGACCTGGAGAAGCAGGGAGAGACAGGGCCACCCTTGGGTTCCTGAGCAGCTGTGTGGTGCCAGGCTATTCCTTGATAGGAGGAAAGCGTGGTCAGGAATCTGTTTTGGATGCTGTAAGTGTGACCGCTGGAAGACATCGAGTGGATGGTCCAGGAGGCTGCGGCTGTGGAGAAGGAGGCGTGGGTATATCGGTAGTAGTTGAACTTTCAAAGGAGGGGGGCAAGTCTGCCCGGAGACAGGTGTTGCTGGGAATGAAAGGATGGAAGAGAGAAGGTCCCCAGGGTAAGAGGTGGGAGGAGGGGAGACCTTGGAGGTCTGTGCTTGTGACCCAACATCAAAGTCTTTCTCACAATTAGGGCCGTGATCAAGGGCTGTTGGTTCCCCGCAGAGTTGGAAACCTGGCCGCTGAGGTTAGGTGTGGGTTACACGAGGTGGATGTTGCGGTGGGTGAGCTCAGGCTGCTCTGGTGCCCTGGCTGGGCGTAGGCTCTGCCCTCCAGGGCCCCAGGTCCCCTGTAGAGCCTGCAGCCCCTCCACAAGGGAACTCGGGTGCTGATCAGGGTGGTGAATATACACTGTGGGGGCAGCTCCAGGCTGGCAGGAGGATTTCACAGATTTTCTTGTTGGCCATCATGCTTTTATGGGGTAATTTGTTTCGTTTTGTGACTTTTAAAGAGCCGATACTAAAAGAAAAATGAGAGGCTTTCCAAGGACAGTTTCTTTGACAGCTCAGCAGCCTCACAGGCATCTGAGCGAGTTAAAGCTTCCGGGGCTGAGAAGAACTCACAGGAAATTTATGAGTTGTGCCAGTGCTGTGACTAACAGTCTGTCAGTGCCCTCCCGGGAGTGGTCACTCACCTGTGGCGGAGGGGTGGGGGCGGGACTGCTGCTGGGTGAGACACACACTCAGGATGCACCATGGGCTCCAGTGCTCGTGGCCGCTCCTTGCCTTCCATGGCGAGCCATGTCTCAGGGTCCAGTCCAGTCTGAACAAATCAGCCATGTCCTGCAGCAGGCGTCAGTTGTAGCCCTGTCTTTCTGCATGAACAGGACGTGCTGACCCAGGGAAGTACATATAGTTGCCTCTGAATTCTTAAGAACTCTCATTTTTTCTTGGCTTTGATAGGCACTGTACTTTCTCCCTTGCAGAATTCAGCTTTCTGATGCTGTTTCTTTCAGCCCAATCTTAAACAAACTTGTGTTGTCAAAGCAGAGCTATTTAGACTTCAAGAGAGGCTGCCCAGGAGCTCCCTGGGTGATGGACAGAAGCCAACACAGGCAAACTGTTCAATTTTGCTGTAGAGATTCTGCAGCATGGAAAATGCACAGTCAGAGATGTAAATATAGCCCATAGTGGGTGGGGTAACCCAGGGTGGCTATAGGATACCCAGAGAGGTGGTGTGGAGCTCAGGAACCAGGGGTACAAAGTGTGACCAGACAAAGTCCAGCCAAGTCATTCATTCTGAGCACCTTGTTCATCCTACAAGCAATAGGTGATTGGCTCAGTCTTTAAATTCCTCTGTAGCTACACCCAGTGCTGTGGTCTGCAGTGGTCACTTTAACGATGGGCTTCTTGGGGGCCTGTAAATGCTTCAGCATCCAGTGGTGTGTGAACACCAAGCCCCACTGGGGAGGGAGTGTGAGCAACCAGTGGGGCTGGCTAAGAAATTGGTCTGGGAAAGACTGAGCTTCTCATTTGCAAGCGCAAAGACCATTTCCTAAATATCTCACAAATACCTCAGCTGCGGAGCATTCAGAACAAGTACATGGGTGTATTTCCTAACCAGGATTTTCACCCCTGAATCTGTCAAAGGAAAAACTCTGGATCTTATTCTAAAATGCTAGTGTTTTACATTTATGTGACTATATATTTTTATAACTCCTTCCCACTCAAACATTCTTTTGAATACAGTCCAATTCTATGGACTTAGTTTGAGAACATACATTTGAAAATGAATTTATTTCTATATGGAGAATCAGAAGGAAGGGCAGGAGAGATTTGCAGATTGGATAGGAAGACAGACAGCATCTCCACGGGAAGAGGGTTCTTGCAGGTGCACATTTAATTGCAGATTTTCTGAGCAGTGGTCTTTATGCTATCAAATTATTCAGGCAAAACACTTCTTTCATCTTCTTGGCTGAAGACATTAGGATGCATCTTGAGAACTTGTTGGAGCTTTGCCTCATCTCCACTGGTCTTTGGGATAATTACTTTGGATGACTTTCCTTAATCCTCCTCCTTGGTAATTCTGCAAGGTGCCACACCGTGCCACTCTGCTGACATTCTGCCTGCTTCATATAATTGCTTTCTGCTCTGTGCTCCTTTGCCGGGAGCCCTGAGGCTAGCTGAGGAATAGTAATTGTCAACTGATCTTGAAGCTTGTTCTTGGAGAAGCAATGCCATAAACAGGGCTCAGATTCAGAATGCTGCATTATGCATTTCTGCTGCCAAGTAATGTGGGCAGTGTTTAAATATAGCTTATGCCTTTCCAAATAGTGGAATTAAGGAGGGTTTGATGCACCCAACAAGGACACATGCATTTGAAAAGTTGGGTCATTTTTCAGAGGTTTAGCAGATGTTTCTTAGGAAGAAATGCAGGGGAAAAGAGCTATAGAAATTTTTACTTTGTATTGGGATACAATGGCAAATGCCTATAATCCCAACTACTCTTGAGGCTGAGGCAGGAAGATCTAGTCCAGCCCTGTGCAATTTAGTGAGATTCTGTCTCAAAATAAAGCATCAAAATGGGCTGGAGAAGTGTCATTTTCTTCTTAAGGGCTGTAGCATATAAAGGTGGGAAAAGACTTTTGAGAACAGCTTCTGTGAGCTCGCACCGGGGGCAGGTTCACTGTGCACAGTCAGGGCCTTGCCAGTGGCTTCTACAGAGGTAGAACACACACACACACACACACACACACACACACACACACACACACACACATGCACACACACTCACACAGCTGCACGATGCAGAGGCAGATTTGTTCCTCACAGATGGCATTGGGGACACAGATCCCTGGGGTTATGATGACCTGGCTCCAAGGCTGGGGAGGTTGTGCGGGCTGATTGAGGCTTGTCTGTTTGTGACTCACTTGTGGCCCTGGGGATGGCTGGGGAAAGCAGCTGCCTGGTTTTACATGCAGGGACAGGGTATCTGTGGCATCAAGGACAGGGACTGAACTGGGCACGTCAGCCTACTCTCCAGTCTACTCTCCAGTCACCGGAGGTTCCAGTGCACCCTGCGGAGACACAGGACAGCCTCCCACAGCAGACCCTTGGCCCCGCATTGCAGGGTGGAGAACCCCGCAAAGCCTCTTCTCTTATGACGCTGCGCTGCGTTTGAGTCCTGAGATGAGAGAGACCTGGTGAGCGGCTTTGAGAAGCAGCTTCTTCGGGGCGAGCTAAGTGGTGCAGGCTTGGCTAAGGACAAGTAACAAATCCTGAGGGAGTGGGGAGCGGGGGAGTGTAGCAAAAATTAACCAAGCAGATCTTGGGTGCAGAGAGAGCTACCTGCAGCAGCAGTTGGTGTCAGCGTGGGGATGCACTGAGAAAGCGGCATAGAGTGCACAGAGGACCAGCCGGCTTCAACAGGTCCCCAACCCAGTTAATGAAATCCACAAGCTAATCCCAGGGATCTAAGGTTTAAGTAGCATTAGACATGCAAATCTAGCAACAATCTCATTTTTCAAGAAGCAGCTGAATTCTTAAATACACACATTAAACTTCGAAAACAAACCCAAGACAATGAGTTCAAGCAGACATAAATAGTATCCCAATCCACTAAGGGCAAGATACCAGCATTCGTGAAGCCTGCACACTCCAGAGGCTGAAAGTTACGGTAAGTGGTTTCGCATAGCAGTAGCAGCAAAGCTGTTAGCCTGTAGGCCAGGACAGTGTAGACAACTAACGATTACTTTTCCCAAATTATTCGAATGCTGCCAAGGGTCTCGGGAATAAAACCAAAACGTAGTCAAGAATTCCTGAGCTAAAGAGACACCAGTGGCTTTGTGGAGCATGTCGTCCTCCTGCAAAGGTAACAGCAGGGGGCGCTCCTGCTCACCATTATGTCTCCAGGCTTCCTGCGACCTGGTGGGACTCAGTCCAGACCTGGCGCCTCATGTGACAGCGACCTGTAGGTCTCTAATTGTTGTGTTGCTGTTGGTGCTTAATTAACATGTGTTCTTAATAACTAAATGATGAATGAAGGTGGTTGTCTTACTTTTTACTCGTTGCTGAGACAAAATACCTGAAGCCCAAGTTGGGAAGGGAAAGGTTTATTTCTTACAGTTTTTGGAGGTTTCAGTCACCCTCAGATGGCTCCAAGGCAGGGTGGCATAGCAGGGCTGCAGCTCATGGCAGCTACAAACAACAAGGAGGCAACCGGCAAAAGAGTGAGACATGCCTTCTTCCTGCCATTACATCACATCCTGGCTCCACCCCTAGGCGGGTGTAGACACCATCAATCCAAGCCCTAGACCATGAACCAATCACAGATGCATAATGTAAAGGCATGAGGTCAGGGGGCCACTGACATAAACCATGACAGTGATGTTTCTCACCTAGGGCTTCAACTTTTAGACAGAGTGTGGTGGTTCTTCAGATCAGACTGCCCACCTCGATGTGCCGCTGTGGTGGGTGCTCTCTGTGGTGTCACCGTGGCAGCCACCTGGGTCAGTGAGCTGTGTGCTCACCCCCTAGCCCCGAGCGCTTTCCCTGTGACCAGGCACTCATTCTTTGGACTCTGCCCTCCCACGTATTCCTTGTGGGCAGGCAAAGGCAGCTGCGTTCCAGCTGAGGTCTGAGACCTTTACAGGACCTTTAAAGCATGATTTGGTGGGGTTCACCCATAGTTTAAAGATGTAACTAGGATGAACAAAGAGAATGCAGCAGTGCACCACATGCTGTCAAGGTAAGTATGGTCTCTTAAAAATTTTGAGTTATTTTGAATTTGCCTTTGAACTGAGGTGTTAAGGTTAATATATATATATATATATATATATATATATATATATTTTTTTTTTTTTTTTTTTTTTTTTTTTTTTTTTTTTTTTTTTTTTCAAATTGTGGCTGCTTGAGAAGGGTTTGGAAGTCACTCCACCTGGGGTGGGATGAGCAGAGCAGAAGACCCTTTTGTGCAGTAGCTGGGCTGACCACAAAAGGAAGGGTCATGGTAAGGGAACTTTAGGGCAACACCTCAGAGACCCAGGCCTTGGGAGGCAGCGCCTGGATGCACCTGAGTGCCAGCAGCAGGGGGCGTCTGTCTTGGGGCGCAGCAGAGACAGAGTAGGGAAGGAGGATGGGACATCTGGGGCCTGGGCCGGATGTGGCTTCCTTTGTGTGCTCATCTTTAAAACTTCCCGAGAGTGCAGCAGTTGTGTCTGCAGAGCACCTTCTGTGGCCTCATGAAGGCCCATGACCTTAGAGCACAGATAAACCACCCAGAAATGTAATGTGAAGAGCAACCGGACTTAAGAAATATGTGCTCTTAGGGAATCTTGGTGTAAAATATCATTTATTTTGAAATCAGAAGATAACTGATTCCATAAACTATAAAGCACTATGACTAAATTACATAAAACTAAGTATTGGTACATTATTGCACAAACAAGATAAATGTATTTCTCTTCACACTGTATTTTCAAAGCCAGGGGCAGTGAGGGGAAGAGGATTTTTCCTTACTGTCAAAAAAAATTGCAAAATTAACAGTTGGCAACATTTCAAGGAGGTATGAGATGAAGCAAGGAGTCCTAAAGCAGGTATTTATGAATTTGAACCTGCACTTCTGAAAGTGATCACAAGAAGCCTGAATCCTTTTAAAGCAGGAGCCCAAGCCTTCAGAGAGTACTTGGTCCTTGGTGTTGCATGTAATTCTAGCACTGTAACCAGGGTTGGCTACATCGAGGTCTTGGCCGCCTTTGAAAAGATCACAGCCCTGTAGACATTTCCCAACTTAACTTATTTCTCCTTCCCATCCTAAGTGCTCCTGGAACTATCTGCTTAATCTTTCTTGGTGCTGTGGCATTCTCTGCTCCGGCTCTGATGCTATTTGCACTTTTCCATCACTCTAAGCTGCTCCGGGTGACATCTTTCTGGTCTGGTGTGTCTCCAGAGACTTTATATAGCGACAGCCTCATGTGCATGATATTCCTATAGGGTTCTTCCTTCACTCTGGAGCAGAACCTAGGCTCATTAGGAAAACAATTGAACCTCAGCTTTTCAGTGAGTCAGCACTATTCACTCACTGCAGGGGGAGAAAACAAGGTCCCCCTGGGAAGCAAGCCCCACCTGAGAACCAGCACCTGTGCAGGCCACTGGTGGAGTGGGGACAGCCAGACCCCAGGCCCTTCTGGTGTGTGGGTTGGCAAACAAGAAGTACTACTGGTCCCCCACTCCCTCTGCATAAGCAACCAGCTGATCCGGAGAAACATAGGCGGTGATGATAGCTATGGAGGTGAAATGCAATTGGATGCTTGTGGTGTTTGGTGTTTCACGAACATTGCAGGTCTAGGGCTATTGGTCTGACCATAGGTCCAGAGGATAGTGGTATGCAGTGTGTCATCTAGGGTGATTTTCCTTCTGAGGGCTGCAGCCATTGTTGATTCTCTACTGTCTTGCTTTGAAATCCTATATCATTTTCATTGTTTTGTTGGGTTGTTTTATTTTCGTCTTGTTTGATTATGTTAAATTCAATGGCATGGGCTGCTATTTCAAAGATAACAATATTATGGTAGCAATTTTGGACTTACTTTTGGCTTGTTTTGAAGTCCTTTATTGCATTCATTGTTTTGTTTCTATTGTTTCTGTACTATTCTGTTCTGTTTATATTTTTACTATGTCCAAAGTTATCTGCAGCTATCATGAAGACATCGAAAGGCATTATGGTAACTATTGTTGATTTTGTATTGTTTTGAAGCCCTGTATCACGTACACTAGTTTGTTTTGATTGGTATTATTCTGTTTTATTTCCCTTGGTTTTATCCTCTTTAAAATAAAATTTAAAAAAATTCAACATGTTCAAGTGTAGGTTGTTAATTAAGTAAATACTTACAGATGGAAGAGAAACACTGTATCATCCCTGTTGGTTTGTTTCTTTACTCTGAAAACACTTCAGGGCCAGGAAAAGATCCAACCAATGAATGATTAAAAATAATCAAAACTCATTAGGACATTTATATACAAGATAGCAATATAAAAATTAATGATCTCTCTCTGTTCTGACAAAAATACAGCCTAAAAATGGAACAGAACAAGTGTTCCATGTTCAGTATCTACAGAATTCTTAGTAACACAGATAACAAGGCACAGATCTGTATAAAGGAAATCATAAATTGTCATTGAATTAAAGTAAGCACTCAACAAATAGATACACCATGTTCTAGGGCAGGAAGGCTTGCAATCACCAAACTCAATTTTATTAAAATTGATAAATAAATCTGTAATTCCCAGTAAAATTCCTGATGGATTTTTCTCTTTAGAATTGGACAAAATGACCTTACAATTTGTATGAAAGGATAGTCATGGTTAGAGGATAAATCTTTGAAAGAGAAAAATGACACTTCTCAGATAGCAGAATATGCTATAAACTCAACAGCAAGTCAATAATATTATCAAATGACTAAATTAGTAGCTCAGGATATCAAAGAGAAAATCAAGAGGTGGAGCCAAATGCAAATGATAATATGCAATATTCACCCAAAATATCTTTTTTGCATGCTTTCTGTATATATTATATTTTATTCTAGGCATGAAAAAATTAAGTATTGTTATTTACAAGGGAAAATGATAGATTGCTTTATAAATGGAGCTGGCACAAGTGACCACTGGAGGAAAATAAAACTAAGTCCTGCTCAATGCAAATGCATTTCAATGTCAAAGTATAATTTTTAAAGCATTTGGAAACATGACTGTCATATGAATATGAATTGAATACAAATCAAAGACCTACACTCTCATTTTAGCTCAATAATGAGAGCACCAGCAGCTGGGAAAGCTGGTTCAGGGGGCATCTGGAGAAGAGAGGTCTATCTAGCTGACCCAGAAGGTGGGCCAGCATGGTCTTCCACAGTTAGAGACAAAGTGGTTAGGGACCTCCAGGGAAAGAGAACTGTGAGTTACTTTTTTCTATTGGAGAGAAATAATTTGCATGTTTTGTCATAGAAAAACCTACAGGTTAACATGAGAAGTCATAGAGTTTGAGTTTTAATAGCACAGTAAGTAAAAAGTGATGTCTCTCCTAGTCCTCAGGACCGAGAGATGGAAGCAATCTCTAGAATGCCACCTTGGTGTTTCAAAACCCATGGGCTGCCATTTCTGCCTTCTTTTAAAATTAACTTTAAAATTGACTTAAAATTAACTAAATTTAAAACTAACTAAAATTAGCTAAATTGAAAATTTATTTAAAATTAACTAGCTTTAAAATTAATGTAAAATTAACTGACATATTTTATGTGCGGCCCGAAATAAACCCCAGAACTCCAGCCACAGGCTAGAGACACCTGATTGGATCTGGGATGACATTCTTTTTTTATATTTCATTCTTTTTCTGTATTTCCTAGTTTTCTTAATCATAGATAAAGAATCAATTTAGACAATAGAACACTATTTAAAGGAAGAAAGAAAATCTGAATGATGCATGTAAACATATATATCCCTGGAATGAGATCTTAAATAAGATTTAACATTCAGAAACTATAAACGCCTGACTATAGAAAGTTGGGGGGAAAGTCCTTCATGTAGGAAAAAAGGTACTATCAGCAAATCCACAAAAGAGAAACAGATTTGGGGAAATACCGATAATGTGGGGAACGGGTCAAGGGCTAATGTGGAAAGGGCGTCTACAGGTGGATAAGAGGTGAACACTAAGGGAAAATCCAGGCAAAGGATATTCAGAGATAGTTCGGGGGGAATAAAGATGCTTGGATTTCCTATAGACTGAGGAAATGGCAGATAAAGGCAATGGAGACCCAGCCTGACCCGGACAGATGCCAGAACTTTCGTGACCCTGCCGTCTGTCTATGGGGATGGAGCCGGCACAGTTGTCTGGGAAAAAAAGTGGAGAGAGATATTAAAATAGAAACACGAAGACTCCTGGATTAGGCAAATCGGAGCGACTGTTCGAAGGAAAACACCGCACCTAGTAATGTCCGTCCCATTGCGTTCATTACCACACAAACGACGGAGCACTGGGGCCAGGTGAATGCCCGTCGGAAGGGTAATGGCCAGTAGATTACAGGATGCTGCCTATGTGATCCAGGGAGAAAGGAAGGACCTCACCCCAGGTAATGGGGAGGCACTCTGCGAATCCTTGTGGGAGTGAACCAAGATACAGACAAATCTAAAATAGGGTTTTATTTTTATAAAAACACAGTCTCTCATGTTTGCAGGTGTAAGAAGTTTATATTTAATTACTGGATACAGGCATAAAGAAAAAGGAAAGTGGGCGTCCGAGGTTGTCAACATGAGTAACAGTGAGAGGGGGAGGGAGAGGAAGAGAACCAAACAAAACAGGGAAACGCAAGGAGAAGGAACTGCACTGGAAGAACCTGAGGAAAAACCGCTTGTGTGCATTTAAAAGAAACCATACTGGTGTCTATGTCAGAGGAAAAAAAGGTTTTTAAAAGCTTCTGACTCGTGAGAGAGAATGAGAGACAAAGAGAGACAGAGACAGACAGAGAGAGAGAGATCCACTGGGGCAGGGACTGGGTGGGCACACAGCAGGCGCCACAGAACCGGGGTTCACAGCGAGGGTTCTGTGAGTCCCTCTGTGTGCCGCCCCTGCCTCTGTCACCCAAGGTCTGCCCCAGCTGCTTTGCCGTTTCCTTCAAGCTCTGACTCCTCTGAAGGAGAGCAGGCTGCCTCTGCACACAGGATGGCTAAGCAGCTCTGCCCCGTGCCTTTCCTTTCCTTGGTTTCTTGACTGTTTCTGCTTCTGCTACTGTGGCTGCTGCAGGAGCTGAAGGTAGCTTGGGGACCCCGAGTCAGCAAGCTGCCCACCAGAGTGGATGGGGGGGGGCGCTGCCTGTCAGACCTCAGCTCTGATGAGCTCGGCTCTGAACAAGCTCTTCCTTTCTGCAGACCTGTAGCCTGGTGCCCTGGTGGGGTGCAGGAGGCAGGCCCTGCAGAACTGGGGGCTCCAAAGCCCTTCTGTTTTGCTACCCATTGAAATACAGAATCCTTATTCTCTGTGGTGCTTCCTTAGAATAGTATTGCCTTTCTGATCTAAAAAGTAACACACAGTAGTTGTGGACTGCTTCAACATTCAGAAAAGTACATCAAGGAGAAAATGGAAATTTCTGTTACCCAGCATTGAGAGAACATCTCTCCGAGGGGTTTAGTGCAGACGTTTCTGCTATTTGCGGCTCCTGGGTTTCTCCGCATGCATCCATTTGTTGGACATCTGTTATCTGCCAAGCGTCGTGTTTGGATAAAGCCCTGAATAATGAGGAGAAGTTCCTCCCTGAGCAAGTATATGCCAAGCTAATTTATTTAACAAATGTGGTTGTCATACTAAAAATACGCTGAGCAACCTAGTATTTTTCCGTGATGCCTGTCACCAGGAGTGTTGGTACCACGAAGTCTTCAGAGAGTCCCTGCAGGTGCCCCGCTGCAAGTCTGTCCTCAGGTCCAGAGGGTGTGGCTCCTTCCTCTCAGGTCATCGTGGGGTCCCAACTCTCAGCCACTCCTGGGTTCCGAGCCTAAGTGTTCAGATGCTCGTTTCCGGCCCACAGTTGTCTCATCTGTGGGCACTGAGTGCCCGTGCAGGTGTCCTGCAGACTGGGATTCACGGGCACCTACTACAATCAGGGGACTCAGAAGCCTGTTTTCTTTGGATGTGAGGTGAAGCTTCGACGACCACATGACTTAGCCAGCTGGACCACACATTGCCGGTGTCCGAAGTTCCCAGGTCCCGCAGAGTTCTGGGGCTGTGGGAATCAAGGCCCAGGACAGCGCAGCCCTCTTTTGGAGGGAAGGGAGTGGCAGGAGTGAACAGTGTGCAGGCTGCAGCTATACTGATGCACAAGCCTATGGGAAGGCTCAGGGCTCTGATCTTATTTGCTTGGGACATGCAGGGGCAGCTGTGTCTCCTGAGCTACTCCAGATGTCGTGGTGCTAATGAGCTCCACAAAGGCCTGCAAGCAGTGGCTTCAGGAAGGAGCAGGGCTGTCTGATCCTCACTGACCTCACCACCAGACTGCTGCCCTTGGGAAGGAGCTTGGCAGTGCCAGGTGTGGGCTGGGGGTCTTCTTGGGGCCTTGCTGGCCCGACTTCCACTGGTGTGTGCTCTGCAGGTCCTTGCTCCCAGCTCACATATTCTAGGCTTTGGCCCAGACTTCATCCTGAGCTTCATGGACTCAGTCTTGCCTTCCACCTGGGAGCAGAAGAGAAGTGCCCACTTTACACTTTGCTGCAGGGCCCAGTATCTCACTGTTAGAAAGACTCCCATTGAAGGTCTGGCACCAGTTCAGTCTGTTGCGAGCTGAACGGTCACTTCATTGCTTTATTTAGTGAAAGGGCTGGGGAGACTTTCAGTTAAGCTTAATCCAGAGTTAAAAGCAATGTCACTGAGAAGACATCACAGAAGAAGGGCTGGATGCTGGCTGGGACAGAACACCAGAGGGCTTCGACGTCTCCCATATGCTACTGAGAGACACAGTAGATAGTTGTGTGGAGCATAGCAAGGACCCACATGTAGAGAGGGTGGCATTATGGATGGGAAAGTGGGTGCCATGGCATGCTGTAGAGTGCATGGTGGGGTACCTGGCCCGGTGGAGAGCGAGGCGGGCCAGGGCTGGCTTCACAGAGTGAGGGACATGAGGTGTTGTGTGTGGTGCTGTCAATTGGAGGGGATTGATGGAGACAGTTAGGAGGACCTTCCTCTCCTGTGAAACAGCCAGGCCAGATGAGTTTCTGCCGCCCGGAAGCAAAGTGCCTTGTGTGATGGAAACAGAGTCTGAGACTGGGCCAGGACATGCAGGACCGACTGGTGGGCGTAGGCTTCCTCCCTCTCTGCCTGTGGAGGAAAAAAGCAGCTTTCCAGGTCCTCTGGTGAGCTTGGGCTTTTGCCTCACCCCCACGATGCAGCAACAGGAACAGACCTGCAGCTCATAGCCTGGAGCTGTTCCCATGGCTGAGGGTACAAATTGGTGATGCCCAGGAGACATTTCTTAAAACCGAATATTCCATTGTGTATGTGAATCCCACATTTCTGTGTTACTGTGTTACTGTGTGTTACTCATTAGCCATGTCTCTTATGCAGGTGAGAGACTGCTGACTTTGGAGGAATGAAGTCAGGCAGCGTCGCAGCCACAGAGGTGAACAAGGTTTCCTTAAGCGCCGTGTGACACCAGCTGGAGGGAAGCGTGGGGCATGCGTAGGGGTGAGGTACACTGCATCCCTGGGAGGTGAGCTCCCCCCAAAACCCATCCAACATGGCTGGACTTCCTGAGAGCTTTGTCTCATGGGTTTAAAGGGAAGCAAATGAGGTGCTCTGGAGGAAATGGAATTTTATGAATTTCACGAGGCATTTTGCAGTCGTGGTGATGGTTGCGTTGTGATTGTTTAGATGTATTTGATGTGGCTTCGAGGCTTCTGGTCCCTCCTGGCATGTGGATTGGGGGAAAGGTTTGGAATCTGCGCTCTGCTATTCTGATAGGTTGGAAGAAGTTATTGCAAAAGATATTGTTAACTGCTTCACTGATGAAACGGATTATCCAATTCTCTTCTTAAAATTCATTTTTTCCTGACCCAATCATCACACATGGTTATGGGGTACAGTGTGATAGTTTGCTAAATGGGTATGGTATTTAATGGTCGCAATGCAATTAGCATTTCTGAGTGTTGGGAGCATTCGCACCTAGTAACTCAGAGCTGCCTAACAAATCGCCATAATCGTAATCATCTCTTTTCTGTGGAGCAAGAGAACCTCTTCTATCTAGGTGCATTGGTACCTGCCCAATCTCTCATGATCTCCCTCTTTCCTGGCCTCCAAGTGCCATGATTCTACCTTCTGCCTCTCATCATGGCTTCAAGCTTCCACACAGGAATGAGAACGCGTCCTATTTGTCTTTCAGTGTCTGGTTTATTTCACTTATTCCATCCACATTGCCTCAAACAACTGTATTATGCTCTGTAATCTGGCTGCCGAATTTCCCACATGTGTATGTGAATCCCACATTTCCAGGTTTGTTTTTATGCACTCATTTGTTGGTGGCCCAATTGACCCCACAAATTGTGATGTGGTAAGCACGGGGTGCAGTTCCTCTCTGACATCCTATTTCCTTTCTTCAGCAGTGGAATTTCGGGTTGTGCAATAGCTCCAGTTTTGGTTTGCTGGGAGTCTCCACAGTAGTTTCCACAATCATTGTACTAGTTCTTATTCCCACCGCGACTGTCTGAAAGCTTCCCCTTCCTCTACGTCCTGGCCTGCACTCACTTTTTGGGGTACCTTTGATAATATCCATCCTAACTAGGGTATGATGACATCTCTTTGAGACTGGTTCTCATTTCCCAGATCCACTTTTTATTTTATGTGAAATACAACAGTGGCAGCTGCAAAGCTTTGTGCTTCTAGTGCCTGGAAATTAAATTCAAACATTTGTGTGTGTGAGCCTTTCTGTTCAGACATTCATTTTTTTGTTGTTGTTGTTGTTGTTTGTTTGTTTGTTTTCTTTTTTTTTTTTTTTTTTGCTATTATCTCAGAGTTATAAACTCTCCATGTGCTGGTGCTAATTCATCTTGGGATATAATACATGGCAGGTTTTGTCTCACATACATTGGGTACTTTCCCTATCCCAGTTACTGTGCTGGGTCCTCAGAATATGGCAGTGAACAGCGCAGACATCAATTTCATCCATGAAACACTGAAGTGGCTCAGGTTCTGCACATTGAAATTAATATTATAACACTCGGAAGAGAGCACTGAAGGGGCCGGTGCCTCCGCCTCCCCCCAAGAGGCTCTGATCTGCCCTCCCTCCTCCCTTCCTTCTCCCCTCCATCTCCCTCCCCTGTTTTATTCTTTCAGTATTTCCCCTAATTCCTTCCTTCCATTTCCTCCCTTCCTTTCTTGTTTTCCTTTTCTTCCTATTTTCTTATTTTCTTCTCCTTTCCTTTCTTCCTTTCTCCCTTTTTCTCTTTCTCCCTTCCTCCCTCTTCCTTTCACTTCCTTATTTCCTTCCTCCCTTTCTTCTTCCTTCCTTCCTTCCTTCCTTCATTTCTTTTATCTTTATTTTCTTTTTTTACTTCCTTTCTTGTTCCTTCCCTCCTCTTCTCTTATTCTCTTATTTTCTTATAACAGTGACTCATTATAGGAGAGGACTGATCAATCTACGGTTGACACTGACTCTGTGTGTGTGTGTGTGTGTGTGTGTGTGTGTGTTCATTATGAGACTGACTCACTGACAAGCTTCTCTTTTCAACCCCAATTTTGAGAAGATTTTAAGTCATGTATAGACTGAAGTTTATAATTGCACCAACTCCAATTCTACATTGACTAACCTAGTGATTTCAAGCAAGAACACCAAGGGCCAAAATTCTCCTCCTTTTCTATTATTAAGTTCAAAGAAATGAGAATTTACCTTTGCAAAACCATCATATCCTTACATCAAATGCAAGGCATCACGGTACTGTTGACAAAATGAATGGCAGATCTTTTTCAAAGTTGTGTTTGTTGGGCCAGCATTGGGAGCTGACTGGCGTCTGGTTCTCAGTCTGACTCTGCCCCTCTGCTCAGTAGGAGCTGCTCCTGGTTCTGAGGAGACAGATATGTGCTTTCACGGTCACACAAGCCAGAATCCCATTCAGCCACGACATGGCCAAGCAGCCTGCCTGTCTGCATTTGCAGACAAGGGCGTCAAATGTCCATTGGCCTTGGCATTGCGATGGAACTGTCCAGAAAGCACTGTGGGCATGTGGTCTGCTGCCCACTGCTGGCCAAGGATTTGTACTTGCACTTTCATGCATAAATGCAACACATACCAGGCATCCCTGGAGGATCAGGCTGCAGCACTCGTGCTCTGTGGCCTATGACCATCCTGGGGACACTCTGCAGAAACACAGCTCTAGATTTCATACAGTTCATAGAGTCAAATGATCTCTTCACATTCCTGTCTGGAGTGGAAGCTAGTCTATGGCTGCCCCTTCTTTATGAAGCTATATAGTTTCCTTTGAGAGTAACAAAGCTCTGCTTCTAAAGAGAATTATCCTCCTTTTACTCTACAGAAAAACTATACCTAATTTTTCTTAAATTGAACCTTCAAAAAAAAGGGGGTATTTTCTCTGTTCCTCTGAGTGCTGATAGTGTTGGGTGGGGATGGGAGAGACACAGTGGGAAGTTTCCCTGCAAATGTTGGCATCGAAAGCTTTCTATTGCAGGGCCTTCCACCCCGGGAGATAGGACACAGCAAGCCTATGGTGCACAGCAGGGAGGCACTGCCTGCCTCTGAGGTTTCTAAAGAACCTCCCTCTGACCTGAGCTTGTGTTTGTGTCTGTAGCAGCAGTTTCTTGTTTAGTGTTTATTCTAGCAGGTTGTAGGGTTTTCTGAGCAGTGGCCTCACCTCCCATCAGGTTGCTGTTCTTTCCCTTTCTATATGCCTGTCCCTGTGGCACAGACATTCCCGGGCTGTCTGCAACACTAGGTTCCCCTAGGCAGCTCTTGGTATATGCAGAGAAGCACCTGGCAAATGCCTCACAAGAGCCAGGTCACCAGTGTCTTACATACTGATTGATGAAGTCACGAAGCTTGGGTAGCGGGCAGAGGTGGGAAGTGCATCCAGGCCATTTTGTCACTGAATGCCACCAGCCAACCCAAGGTGGTATCCTGACTGCCAAATGCGTGCGATGCAGTAGTTTATGAAACTTGAGTTTTCTCAGTTCGGAGTATCCCAGTGAATCCCTTGATTGTGCTTACAGTTAGAGTGGCTGCGTCTGATGTTAGGGAGGGAGCAGCTTTCAGCCCTGAGGGAGCAGCTTCTGTGTCCCAGGGAAGACAGAAGGGCTTAAAATACTGTATGTAGCCCCTGCTGCAAGCATCTGAGGCCTGATTATTATTATCTCCGTTCCAGGGGTGAGAACACGGAGGCTTTACAGAGGTTAGGTCATTTGTCACTGGAAAACACCTGGCAGATGGCAGAGCTGGAATTTGAACAACATCCAAGAGTCCTTGTGCCCAGCGACATCACCCAGGGGCAACCTCTGGCGGTGGTCAGAGCCCCTTGCTCAGGCTGCCTTAACGCCCCTGAGTGTGAGATGCAGGCCAGCATTTTCCATGAGGCTGAAGGAAGTGTCCCCGGGATACTCATTAATGTAAGATAGTCACATTTGCTCTCCTAAAAGTGACTCCTAAAAAGAAACTTAATACCTGAGAAATCTCAACACAAGCTCCGGATGATGAAGGTGGGATCTGTGCAAATATTTCTGCAAACCTGAAAACACAGTCAATGCCCTAAATCCTTCTGTGGCTGCCACCGTACTCACCACAGAGCACAGAGGGAGCGATTTGTTCTGTGATGGTCAGCACAAGCTGGGTGTGCACGGAAAATTAATGGCATTCCTGTTTCAAAGAGCGGGTTGGAAATTAATTTCACCAAGCATCTCGCCTCAGCTGTCTGTGGGGGAGTTTCACACTGACTGATGATATTTAAAACTGATGGATTTACTTTGACAATACTCCAAGCTCTTCTATGGACATTCCTTTTTCCTATTCTTTGTCTGTTACTTGGCATTGGTGACTTTCTAAATAGTTCAACTTGCTTTCCCCAAAAGCTCAACTTCTAAAGTGTAGCACATCCATTTGTCCTGCATTCCTATGGAAAAGAAGAAAATACTATAGGAAAAATACTGTGGAAATATCTATGTATGCACATTAATATGACCATGTCTGAAGAAGTGTGCATCAAACTATTAACTTTAGCAATGTTTGTCTCAGAGTGGTGCAATTTATGTCTTTGAAGTATTTGGTTATTAGTATTTTCTATTGTCCTGCAATTAATTTAGGTTAACTTAACTATAAAGCAAACTCACTAGGTAAAGGACTCTGGGAATAATCGGATAATGAAGCAATGAACTGAACAGAGAGATTGGTGCTAAGGGAGGTTTTAGAGCTAAGGTCTGTTTGACCCCAAACCTAGATTTGGGCCCCTTTCCCTGAAAGCTACAGGCCTGGGTAAAGGGCCCAGACCTACTTCTTGATTCTGGGTAGGAAGCGTCACTCACCTCTTTCTACTTGCTGCCCTCTGCCTTGGGAGACAGAATTCTGCTGAAAATGCCCTCTTCTCCCTGTGGAGGCTGAAAAGTCCAGACTTGTTTCTTGGAGCTGGACAGTGGTCCCTGAGGGTGACTTCTGGGAAAGTTCCCAGGGAGTGACTGCTGGGAAAGATTTTTCCTCTTGACAAAGAAATGGGCAGAAAAAAAAGTTCCTGTTTTTGGCCTTTGGATGAAACTGTGATGTTGAAGTCTCCTTCAACCATGAGAAGACAGGCTTGACCTCAGACGTCAGTGAGCGGCTCTGAGAGTCCAGAACAATGAAAAGTAGACTTTGATTATGAACTTGGGATAATGTCCTTCTCTTGGATTTCTTGCCTCTGGACTTATTGTTTAAGCTATTTCTGGTCGTGTACTATCGTGCAACCCTTCTCTCTTCTCTATCCTTGGGTACTAGAGCGGAGACCTCCACTGTCTGCATGCTCACAACTGTAACCCAGGTAGCCCGGTGACTGGCTGTACCTTCCTGGGGTCTCCTGAGACCCAGGCTGAGTGTCATTCTAAGACACTGATGGAGCCAGGGCAGCGGTCAGGGTTTCTCTCAGCTCTTTCCAGACAGGATACATTTGAATGGAGCTACCCAAAGATTTCCCCTCTGCAACCATGCAAATGACTTGGCCTTTTAAGCATCATGGTGGGCCATGGTCCAAGGCCATGGTGGGGTTTTTAAAAAAATCAAGATTTAAATATTTGTGACATACTGAAATGATTTTCAGCTTCCTCTATCTTTATACCCCTAAGTTTTAAGGATGCATCTGTACTAGAGGTTAGGGATAGATTTTTATTTATGTCAGTTTGAGGAAGATACAATGATGCAAAGTTGCTGTTGGTAAGGTAATGTTTTGTGCTGGTTGTACAGAACCAGTCAAAGCAACACTTCTGTTCACTAGGTTTCAGTGCGGGGAAGTCAGACAGACTGTGCACTCGACCTTTGTACGAGGACTTGATGTTTGTTGTCTTGTGCAATGCTCACATCAAAGCCATGAAATTAGTTATTGGTATATAATCATCTTCAGCACTTTTTAAAGCCTGAAGCTTAAGTAAGGATCTTGACCTTACTTATAAAGCTGGGTTTTGGATTTAGTACCTGCTCCCTGGATGGTACGTGGCCCAGGGGGTGATTGATCCTGGATAGGAGGAGCCTTTCTCAGATGAATAGTCAACTAAAAATGTATTTTCTCTGGCCATTGCTTCTGCACAGACGGACATCTATTATTAATTCTTCTGTTCACCGCCTCACTCACTTCCGGTCTGGGTATCTTGGGTGACACCTGGGGGTGACTAGCTCTGCCCATTTTCCTCTTTTTCCTCCTTGAAGTTGAGCTGCCTGCAGACCCCAGGTCATTCCCTCTCCTGCCATTGGTGTCTGTCCACCGAGGTTGGGTTTTGGGAAGCCACTGTTTTTACACAGTGGAGTCATTTTTTTCTGCTCTTAGCTGCATCAGCCATAAAAGTGATGTTTCGCTCTGTATATCACCCCACCTCTCTAATTTGCTCAAAACTCAGCTGGGAAGACTGTATGGGTTTCCTGCTGCTGCTGTAACAAACTGTCACAGTGTAGTGGCTTTAAAGGCATACTAAGGTGTTATTGCACTATTCTCAGTCCAGAAGCCAAAAGGAGGCTCACTGGGCTACAGTCAAGGGCTGTGTCCCTTCCAGAGGCCCTAGGGGAGGGGAAACTTTTCCCGTGTCTTTTTCACTTTTTTGAGGTTACTGACATCTATGGCTTTACTGTTTGCTACTGAGTCAGTCATAATGACCTCTTAACCCCTCTCTCTGACTCTGAGCTTCTGCCACCATCTTTGTCTTTAAAGATACCCGTGATTATAGAAGGCACACCTGGATCTCCCAGGGCAAACCACAAATCCCATCCTAACCCAGCATTTGGGAGGCTGAGGCAGGAGGATGGCTGCAAGTTTGAAGCCAGCCTGGGCTACAAAGTGAGTTCAAGGCCAGCCTGAACTGCACAGTGAAACCTTACCTCAAAGGCAAGACAAAAGCAAAACAAAACAAACAAAATCCACCCTTAGTGAAATCCCTTTTTCTGTGTCAGGTAAAATACTGTGGGTCCTAGAAACTGGACTGTGATGTCGTTATGGGGGGACAGGATTCTGTGTACTGCCCAGGTCTTGGCAATGACCGCTCCTGTTTGTGCTGCTGCTTCAGAATGCCCAGGATGAAGGAGTTTGAAGAGGTTTGTGCTACTGCTGGGATTTCTAGGACATGGGAGCTCAAGTCTGTGCAAGGCCTTGGTCCTGTCACCTTTTGACAAAGGGCAGGAGGACAAGAGACCACTGGGTACTGGGGCTGAGGTTATGCTCACAGTAAGCTACTCTCATGCCAATGGGCCACTTCCACAGTAATGGACCAAGGATAAGTTCCTACCACAGGAAATGAGGGAGGGTACATCCTACCATAGAGCTTCAACTCAGTAATTGTTCTTTATTTAGAGTGTCACCAATAAACAGGCTCACAGACCATTAGTTTATGGTGGGCTTGTGTGTTTTACACAAAATGCATATATATTCCGGCCTGACCTAGGCTCGAGGTTGAGACTAGCCGCTGGTCTTGCTTGTATCATTCAGCTAAAGTCTTCTCTGCTGTGGCATCAGGCCACATTCTGTGCCCTGAAGACACAGACTCTCCAGGACTCAGGAACGGCCCTGGTAGAGCTGCCGCCCTGTGTGCTGCGAGGCAGGCTGTGGTCTTCTTCACCTCGATTCCTTCTTCAGGTGCTGAGGCAGGAGTGGCATACATTCCTCATACCCCTCTGCCTGGCCTGTCATGCTGTGACCCATCCACAGGCTTCCTGCTCCTGAGAAGTTAGATGAGTCAGGCTGGTCACCAGGGAAAGTCCCAGCGGGTGAACTGCAGTGGTGGCCCACACAGTGGAGTAGGAGCTGTTTCCTAGGAAGAGAGCAGTGACAGCATCAGAGGGTGGAGGAGGGAGCCCTGAGGAGCAGCAGGGCACAGGGCTGCCCCAGGTCTTGTCGCCAGGCTGGAGCAGGCCAGGAGGAATGGGTCCCTGAAAAGAACTGGCAGGGACAGGACAGAGGAAGGGCTGTGTAACAAGGCAGGGTCAATAAGAGTCATTAAAGGGTGTATGGACAGTGGGTGGAGTGTTTTCAGGAAGGCTGGGTGTATTGGCTGACGCATGTGATCCCAGCCACTCCAAGGTCAGAGGTCAGCATAGACGACATAGTGAGATACTGCTTCCAAATAAAAAACAAAAAAGGATTGGGGATGTAGCTTGGAGGTAGAGTGCTACACCCTAGGGTGCAAAAACCCCTGGGTTCAATCCCTACTACAAAAATCATCAGAGAAAATGAGATGGATATCATCGCAGAGAATCATTGATTACTTATTTTAAAGGGAAAAATAACCTTTACAATAGAGGAACTTGTCAGATTCCACCTTAATCAAAAGATCAAAATCAGGATTATCAAAGACTAGATATCTTCTACCTTCTGATGAAATATAATGGGAGCAACGCTGTGTCACTGAGGTGCTGTTGTCCAGATCTTGCCACATACTTATCCTGAGCCAGAGCAGAGGGACAACTGGTGTTATGGCTCATAGCTGGACGTCCTCCCAGTGCCTTATACGGTCTTAGGTGGGACTTTTTGGAAGTGACTGGGTCTAGGGTGTGTGGTCCTGAGATCAGGAATGTGATGCTGGAATTGACTCAAGGTGTGATGCTGAGATTAATGGTGTGAATGTAGACTGGATAAAATACAAGGCATGAAAGAATGTGCTTGCTGCCTGGCTGCCTTCTGCCCGTCATGAACTGTTTCTTCTCTGTGAGGCCCCTCTTCCATGCTAACCTGTCTTGGATCCAGCCAACTATGAAATGAAACCTCTACAAACTAGGAGACAAAGCATCCTTTCCACTTTTAACTTTGGGTATCAGGTATTTTGTGTCAGCATTGGAAAAAGTAACCAACTCCCCTTATGGGTTGTTTTACAGATCAATGAACTCTTCTGAAATGCCAATGTGATCAGAGACCAAGAAGCTGAGGAAGAGTAGGGTTAATGTGAAGAATTGCTCATATAAAACAGAAACTGGAAAGGCGTAGAGCAAAAGGTAACATGTCCTCCTCAATTGGATCCTAGATTTAAAAAAACAAAACTGTTTTGAGGATTTTATTGAGCTGATTGGGGAAGTTTGAACTTGGATTGTACACTTGATGGTATTGTGTCAGAGTTATATTCTTTGTAGTAAGGGCATTTTGCTTATGCAAAAGCAAGTTCTTATTATGCAAAAATAAGAATAAGGGCTGAGCTACTTAGAACTGAAAGGTCAAGATATCTGCAATTCATTCTACACACGTGTACACATGTGTACACACACACATCAAAAGAGTGAGATGCAGCTGATGTGACAAAATGTTTGAAGGAATCCAGAAGAAAAACACAAGTATACGGAGGGCTCTTACCCTGTCCCTTTAGTTTTTCCGTGGATTTGGACATTTTCACAATAATGAAGTTAGATATGCCTCAGGATATCTGAAGCCAGGTGGTTTCAATAAATTACCAAGGCACTGTGTGAGTGTCCTGTCATAAGTGTCCCTGTGACTCTCATTCTGCCCATGTCCTGATGGGCATTGTGTGACAGACACATCAGGGAAAGTGTGGAAAATGGATTAGTTCATGTCTGCGGGCACTTGCTATTATGACTGGCTGGCAAATGCTGGGATTAGAGGGCCAGACAGAAGATAAATAAATAAGGGAACCTCAGGAGCCTACCTTAGCCTGGGTACTGACAGCTGCAGCTGCAGAAGGCCCAACCCTGAGGAGAAGTGGAAGAGGCCATACTGGTGACAGCAGCTGGCCCACGGGGTCCTGAGTGTGTCAGGACGAGGGTTTGCTGCCTGTAGGGGGCTGTGCGGCACACGCTGCCCCACAGAGGCCTCAACAGAGGACTGAGTAGAAGCCAGTGAAGTTGGTTTCCCTTACAATGGGTAAATTATTTTTGTATTTTGTATTTATCCCTTCTGTGATATGGGAGTCTAAATACAAGAAGTTTAAATTTTATTTTTTCTTTTGCCTGTTTGGCAAGGGTTTGTCTGAACTGCAATTTTTTATATCCCCAAAAATGAAGAGGTGCAAGATAAGTGACTGTCATTGGTTAAATTTTATGTAATCAACCATTCTATGCAAACACTCCATGAGACCTGATGTAGTCCACAGAAACAGTTGCAGGAAGTTTTAATGACATTACGGGAATCTGGACTTGGCCTACGCAACATTAATTGTGGGACATCAATTTCACTGGTTAAGAACCTCCTAGCAGATCAGTATGGAATGTGACCTGGGGCCCTGTGTCTGGGGCTGGCCCCTTCCCCTGTGGTGCTATCCCCTGCTCTGCTTCTTAGCAGCCATGAACTGAGCCACTTTGCTCCACTACATCCTTCCCTCGTGACGTTCCTCCCATGGAACAAGCTAACCATGGACTGAATACTCTGAAACCAGGAGATAAATCAGCCTCCTCCCTTAAGCTGTGAGTGCCAGGTGTGGAGACTCAGGGATGGGAAAGCTAACACAGCCTAAATGAGCTAGCACAGCTGTGTGTCACGGCCAGATGTGGGCTCTGAATGGTTGGGAAAAGAGCTGGTGCCTATGCTGCTTCTCATCTCTCAGATGTGCCCTTTCCAAAGTCTTGGGCCCAAATTTGCTCATAAATTTTTCTCCGTGAATTGGAGACTGTCTTTGTTCTGAGGAGATCCTGTGTTTGCTGCTGTCATGGATAATTGTGATGTCAACTTGCAAGGATTAAGAAACACCAAGCTGGTTAGTAAATTCTGGGTATGTGTGTGGATGAAGGATGTGTAAGCCTCACACTGAGGAGGGAAGACCCACCCTTGATGGGATGGCCCCAACCAATAGGATTAAAGCCTGGACAGAGTGAAAAGGGAAGGGAGAAGGAAGCCTTCCCTTCCCTTCCCTTCAGACGAGTTCTGGTCAACACCATTGCTTTTAAATGTTGGTCTGCAATCCCTTCAAGGTTCCAAAACAGACCTTTCTGATGCAAATTTGCATGGGCCTCTGTAGTCAACTTCAGGCCTTCATTTTTTGACTGGATCCCCCAGCTGTGCAGCACACAGGTGGCCATTCTGCACTCTTCCACTCTAGCTCTGCAGTGGTCCCATCAGCCTTCTGTGTGATCCTTAGCATATCTTATATATGCATCTATTTTTATTTTAAGTCTGTTCCTCTAGTGAACCCTGACCCAAACATCTGGGTTGACAGAATCACATCAACCAATTCATAATCTGTAGCTGTTGTCTTGGCTCCCAGTGCCACACTTACACTAGGGTCCCCGGCACAGCGTTCCAAGAAGGATCCAAAGCAATGGAATGCGGGGACAGACTCTCTTCAGGGAGGTCCACTCTCGTGAGAAGGGTCTCTGCATCTGATTTGAAGGCCAAGTGCAGTGTGCCATGGTACACCCAGTGCCTTCTCTGTCTCTGTCTCTCTAAAAAGCAAAACAGATAAAAGAATAGAAGCACTACAGAATTTTTAAAAAGTGGAAAAGTAACATTAGTTAATATAAGGAATAGTGTTATCTTAGAAGTGTTTAGGTTACAAGATTTAGACATAAAAATGATCAAATAATGAAAGTACAAACTGTTCTTTTGGGTAAATGAACAGGGATTAGTAGCATAGTTGTCTAGGACACACACACACACACACACACACACACACACACACACACTTCTACAATCTTTCCTCCTTCCTTTTCTCCTTTTCCCCATCTCAGTTGTTCTTTCCTTTTGAATGGTGCCATCTCACACTATCCGACCCTCACCATACTCTGAGACTCTCTTGTTCCACAACTGTGATGCAGTGAGAATATCTCAACCTGTATTACGTGGCAACATCTTTAAAAGCTGAAATTTTAATGTGTGTTTTATAAGCCATGTTAAAGACTGCATGAAAATGTGGGTCTGCTTTTGCTTTAGGTAGCTCTTTTTCTTTTCTGTAAATTGGTCTTGGGCTGCTGGACCCCCCTTTCTTGACTCCCCAGCCTATATCTCTTTTCTGTCTGCTTGTATAGCTTTTCCTGGCAGCAAGGTGTAGCCCTGAACCCCAGATCAGCACCTGCTGGTCCTCCTTGAGCTGGCTCCCCTACCCTGAGCTTCCCTCTTCTGTTCTGGACCTCAACCCTCTGGTAGGACCTTGCCATGTCTGTGTAGTTATACTGGAGCTTCTAGTAGTAACCAGCTCTCTGTATGGTGAGACTCTTGGTTGCTGAGACCTCCTCACTGGTTTTGGGTTTTCTGCTAAATTGGCTAATGGATTTATTGCTGGGATTTTACCAACTTTCTTGGCTGAAGTTGGTCTGAAAGTCCCTCCGACTTTATTCGGTGGTACTGATCCCTCCCAGTCCTGATACTTTTTCCAGCTTGACATGAATGGGAGGAATCCATACGCAGATGTCTAGCTAACTTCCAAGATTTTGCTGCTGTCTTTAAAATTCAGTAGGAAAAGCATTGTATGCTACTGAAAAAGAGGTGGGCCTCATTTGCCTACAACAATGATGGACTGCTTTGGGAACAGCAAAAACCAAACATGAACAAAAAAGGGAGAAAGGAGGAGAGGAAGCAGGGAGAGAAGAAAGGGAAGAAGTAGAAGAGTGCAGTGTCTGTGGATGCTCGAAAGTTAGTGATGCATGAATGGGAAGTTAGAACTTCCAAAAATGGTCTCTGCGCAGGCAGGATAATACGCCGCTGGGATCAAAGTGTTCGGATTTGTTAACTGTAAAGGCGCTGATTTGCTCTGAGTTCTTAGAGCACATCACTGCTGTGGAATTCATGTACTCGGAATTCCTGCACTGAGGCCAGTTTCCAAGGAGACCAAGGCCCCACTACCTCTACTTCCACAGCGGGAAGGGGCTAGGCTGAGCCTCATGTTTAGGGAGTCTCTCCCAGATGTGAGGGGAACTCAAGGAAGGATGGTAGTTCCTCTATACTTCCTGAGAAAACACACAGGAAAAATATATCTGGTACAGCTGAAGGAGAACCAAGCTATGGTTGCCCGGAGAGTCTTGCCTCAGAGTTCTCAAAGTCCTTGATGTGGGTGGTCTAGGTCAGCCTCCGGGGCACCGGATTGGGGAGGAAGGTAGACACTTGATCTGGAGATCAAACTGAAACTATCTAGCACAGCCCTGAAAAACAGGGGACAGTTTTAATAGTTTCAGAGTGTGTTGGCTTATAGAATGAGGAATCCTGTCACTAACAAAAGTGTCCCCTTGCTATCTTGTCTTTTGCTCTCTTGTCTCTCTTAATAAGCATCAAAAGATAAAAAAAAAAAAAAAGCACAAGAGAGTTACTGGCTTTTGGGGGTGCTGGAGTCTCCTTCTAGAAGGAGATTTCTAAGTTCTTTCTGTCCTGAACAAAAATTGGTCAAGACAAGCATAAAAAGTAGTGAGATCTTACTCTAAAAGCTGGACAAGGAAAGATATGTCTACCTCCGGTCTAAGGTGTCCTGTCAAAACCTGCTCGAGTTCTCACGAGAGGAACTGAAGACAGAGCTCTCTGTTGGATCCAGGTGCAGGGTTTGGGAGGTGTTCTGTTCACATGTCCTGGGATCTGTGACCTCAGGTCATGCCTACTCCCCAGATAGTTTGCCAATCTCATGCCTCAGGAGAAGAGGAGGTCTGTTCCCTGGCTCAAATCCAATTCTCATATTCTTGAGAGGTATAGTTGTGGTTTGAGTAACCTTCCCATCCATCCATCCATCCATCCATCCATCCATCCATCCATCCATCCATTCATTCATTCACCTATCCATTATTCAATAAATATCAAACATTCACTCCATAAACATACTTTTCAAGCATTGGTACAATTTATTTTATACCCGGTTGTATGCTAGGAAGTAAGTATACAGAGGAGGATAAGATTGCTCAGTGATCTTGCAGTCCTATGGAAAAATTATGACAATGTGGTAGTTAACTACAGACATGCATGCAAAGCCCATGGAGAAAGGGAGGCCTCTGCCTCTGCCTTCACCATAGTGTAGACACAGTGCTGGAGCTTATGCTGTGGTAGACGCTTCTTATGTGGCCCTTTTAATGGATTAAAAAAAGGGCCCATCTGAGAACAGATGAAGATGCCTCCTCTACCTGGACACACTGAGCCAGGTGCAAAGACTGGACAATGGCATGCAGGCTGCACTCTCTCCCTCTGCCAGGGTCATTTGTGTGCCCTTGGATCATCCAGCCTTGGCTCCTTCCCTGTCCCATAGGTATAATTTTCAAAAGGTTGCCATACCAGGCTATCCCCTTCTGGCTCACTCTAAGGCTCCTGGAAAAGAGAACCGGTAGGCGAGTGGGAGAGATAATCAGTTCACTGTCCTCCTTGTTTGGGAAGTTGGAGTTTGACTCAAACCAGAATAAAAATTGTTTCAGTGCTAACGAGTACTGAACTCACTTTGCTGCTTTTTGGGTGGGTGGCAGAGCCCTCACGAGCCATCTGCCCTCTCCTCATCTTCCAGGAGGGGCCACACAGCAGCACACACCTGGAAACCACCTTTACCATGAACTTGCATCTCAGGACCCCCTTGTCTTTTCACCTTGGCTCTTTGAAGACTTGCAATAACTACTTCTATTGAATGAAAACAATTTTCTCTCTATCCTCTATTTTGCTGCTTTTTAAAAAATCAATAAAGCATCAGGTAAAAGGATGTGATCTATTTATTGCAAGAGAAATCAGTGCTCTCCATGGAAAAGCTCAGCCCTGGAGTTGTTTGGAGCACCTGTAGTGGCTTGCAGCATTCTGTCATGTGTTATTTTGCAGGATGTCATTGTTCCCGACACTCGGGAAGTATCAGCTGACATAAGTTAGAGCTTCATTTGGAGTCTTTCCTTCTACCTTCCACTATGTGCATAGCAGTAAAATACTAGATGTTCTATGAAACTTACTTTGGCATTAATGAGTGTACTTCTGGTACAGGCTTTGATTCAGATACATACCCTCCGTCTACACAAGCCCAGTGGTCATTGTTCTATTCTTAGTGCTGTCCCTTCCTTTTTTTTAACTCAAAGGCATTCCAGTCAGTTTTCCAGTCTGAAGAATAGGAGTGGGCTGGAAAGCTGAAGACAAAAAATGTAGGGAGCAGGGACACTTAGGGAGGTGCAAAGCCATCAAGGTCATGGCCAGGCTATCACAGTTGACATATGCTTCTTCATGGCCAAGTCACAGGCACTCTTGTGACTTTTCTGTCTGCACACCGCCTTATTTGCTGGTTCACTGATGCCTCGTCACCCTGGCTTGACGTCTGTGTAACACATTCTTGAGACATCTATCCAGCAAAAGCAAGCCAATAGACAGCAGAAAAATGGACTCAGATCTTGGGCAATAGCAATCTTACTCTTATTTTAGAAGACACAGTTTCAGGTGGCAAGCATGCAGTGGTGTATGTTCTTTTGCAGATCTCACCGATGGTCTCTGAAGACCCTTGTTCCCTCTTTAGTTAGGATACTCCATCCTACACGCACCATAGCCCTTGGTCAGTTAATAACAAACAATAGTTGAAGTCCACCAGAAAGGGAGACAACACAGGTGGAATTACCAGCTACTTGCCAGAACTCCTGCTTCCTTGGGGCCAGTGGACATCTCTCATATGGAATACCAACAGACGCCCTCTCTGCCTGCAGTGCCTGATTTTTGCTGCATCACAGCTTGCACAGCCAGAACTGTACCCCTTATGCAATAAGCACAACTAGAAAAGGGTTCCTTGGGAAAAAAATAGGAAACTTCAATTTCTCAAATCTGTAATTTCAGATGTGGCTTGAAATTGATAGGCTTCAAATGAAGACTAGTTTGTTCAATTAAATTACTAAGCCAGACTATGTGCCAGAGGCACCACTTGCAATCTAGAGGAAGAAAGCAGACAATAGATGACTAGATGTTATGATTTTTGTCTGGATGGCCCCTCAAACCCTCATGCAGTCATGGCATCAGACTTTGGCATCAGGCTTCTAGAGTTTGTGACTGATTCATCTTCCAATGCTGAGATTATGGGTGTGAGTACTACACCCACTCTAGGGTGGGTGGCCTACATACAAAATAAGGGACAAAAGAGTCTTTTCTTTATGCTCCTCCCTTTTTGCTTTCATTGCTTTTGCTGTTTTCCTACCATAAACTGTTGTTCCTCTGCCATGACACCCGGCTTTGGAGTCAGCTGTGTGTGAACTGAAACATTCACAAACTGTGAGCTAAATAAATCTTTCCTTCCTTGACTTTGGATGTTGGGTATTGTGTCTCAGCAACAAAAGCAAAGTAAACAACACATCAGAGAAAGAAACGAGGCAATTGGAGATGGTCACCACCAATGTGAGAATGAACAGTGG